GCATGAGACAGTGTCTGGCTCAATTCATATGAAATCTTATTGCAAAATCATGTTCAAATGCAAGCCAGAAAAAGAAAAAAATGTCCAGAGGCTATAATAAAAAATTTTAGAAACAACACGTTTTCTGTATTAAGATACATATGTTCAGGTTTAAATATTGTCCTTAACATCACAATACCAAAACAGGATATGAAATTAAATAGTAACAAGACAAAGTCACACAAGGAGTTCAAATCTCGAGACTAGTTTAGGAATCTAAATAATATTATAAGTGCCAAAAATATTTGTAGCCTGCAGTCACTAAAATCCAGGGAATACCCACAAGACCTGTCAGTAAGAAAATATCAAAAACAGGTAGAGATTGTATAAGAGATGCGTGTCTTTATGGGAAATATCAGAAAACTTGATGGAATCAGAGAATCCTCTCACCATATTAAAGATCAAACCAACACCAGCTCTTACAAAGCATAAATTTCAATCTTCTTTAGAGTCACCAACACCCTGCAGGTCATAAGGAATATTTTAAAGGATGAAAGCAAAAATTGCAGGAAAATCTTCACAATTAAAATTTATGAAGTTACCACAACCTTGAACCAGGTTTGATTAGATCGCAAAAAACTATAAAAAATGAAAAACAAAAGGAAATCTTTTGCGCAAATGAATACCATTTTTTGTAGACAAAAGCTGTATCGTGGGATTAAGACCACCTTCCCAACATCCTTCATCTTCATCATCTATTGTTAATTTCACTTTATGCAGTTTTGGTGTACTTACTTCTCCTCCAGAGAAAGTCATCATATATGGACATGCCATCACAATTACATCTTCCAAAGATGTGAATTCAAAATTGCAATTACCGAAACAGAAGCTTCCAAGTCTCGGTAAACCTTTAAGTTCCAAAGACTTCAGTCTGGTGAAAACAATGCCGTCTTTCAAGTTGGCCTCTTCTGAGATTACTTGCTCTAACAGTTCACAATTTTGTACTTTCATCTTTTTTAGAGAAATAAGGCTCAATACCATGGAAAGAGTTAACAAGTACCTCAAGTTACCACAATTACAAAATTCTAGAGAGTAAAGCCATCTGAAATTCAATATTTCTTGAGGTTTCTTGCTCCTCATTCCCATCAACTCAAGAAACTGTGAGAGGGTCAAATGTGCTACCACAGCATATCCAACCTACAAAATTCAATATATTGCTAATTATTACACAAGAAATCCAAATAAATTCGTAGAGGAAAAAATGAAAAAACAAAATAGGAAACAGTAGCTTTTAGCTTGCATTTTATGACGTAATTAACAAAGGGCTATCAACTTAACCCAGGCTTTTGTAAAGGATAAGTTTAGTCATGAGTCTTCTTTAGTGAGTTGTCATCAGCACTTGAAGCACAACATTGCAAGAAAAAGTTTTCAAACTAAAAATAATCAGTTAAGTTTACTGTTATCATCCACCATGTTTGTTTGATCATGTTTGCAATAGGATAATTAAGTAGAAGGAAAGAAAGCTTTAACAATGAAAAATATATCTTTTGAATTAGTGGATACCTTTTCTACAAACAACTGTTGTATTGTGGGATTAAGGCCACCTTCCCAACATTCTACACCTTCATCTTCTGTGAATTTTACTTTCTGCAGGTTAACTGTACTTACTTCTCCCCCAGAGAAAGTCATCATATATGGGCACCCCATCACAATTACATCCTCCAAAGACAAGAATTCAAAGTTGCAATTCCCTAAGCAGAAGCTCGCTAGTCTTAGAAGACATTTAAGTTGCAAAGACTTCAGTTTGGTAAAAATAATGTCATTCTTGACATCATCATCACTGTGCCATATCTCCTTTAGGTCATCATTCCGCTCCACTATCAGTTCTTCTAGATTGGGGAATGTAGCCTGAAAATTAACCAAAAAAATTGAAAAAGTACACACCTAGGAGGATGAAATGTGCCTTTGAAGTAAATCCTCTGCTCGTTTGGCAAAATTGAGATTCGAAAACCCTAATGCTATTGAGTAAATTCTCATAGTTTTTCACTTTTTTGCCCACCTTTTAAATATACATTAGTAAAATATATTCAATTTAAAATGTCATAAATGTTTATACCTTACTGACCCAGAACAGAGAGCGTTCAGTTCGGATTTCAAGTTGGCTCTCTCCACTTATTCTCGAAAGTTCTGAAGCTAGTATCTGCACTTTATCACATCCGCTCACGTTCAATTTTTTCAATGATGGCCATTCTGTAGAATGTATTTGAGTGTAGAAACTCTGGAGATTGGGTAGCCACTGAAGATCCAAAGATGTTACTTTTGGAAATACAAAATTAGGGGTTGTTTCCACCAAAGCTGATTGAGCAGTTATTTGTGCTTCTGATTCATCAGCATCTAGTCCTTGAGGTTCAAATATTTCTTCTAGTGAAACACAATTCCGTATCCGCAGCTGATTTAGGTTTTGTAGCCTCCCTACCATATGAACTGGAAAAATATTCAATAGTTTTTCACAATAATTTACACTTAGGATATCTAGTTTGTAGAAGGAATCTTCATCAAGTCGTTCATCCCATATCTTGATCAAGCTCCCCATCCGGGAGATAAAAAGCAGCTCTAGATTAGGGAACGCCACCTAAAAAATTGAATTGATAGCACAAATAACTGAACATAATTCAAGACAAGATGCATAAAAATAATGAAAAAAAAATGCCACCATTGCTTAGGAGTTGGAAGCTTATTTAATTCTCCAATCATTGTTTGAACCTAATTATGGATAACTATTACAAATTAACACATTAGTCTCTATTGCTTCCTTCTCAAAGTGCAGGATGAGTTGAATGAGTACTTAGGTATTCAAGCTCAAGCTCAAGGTCACTTTAAAGATTTGAGCTTGAGTATATGTTAAGCTCAAAATAGTTGAACTCATGCTCAAACTTGTATGTATTCAAGTAAGTTCAAGTTTACTCGCAAACTTGAGCTAACGAGTATTTTAACTTGAATTCGAGTTTTTTTTTTTGTAATTTCAAAATATTTTAAAAACTAATTATTTAATAATAAATTTTTTACATTTTTCAAAAATATTATAGTACTAGAAGTTTAAACATATTAAAACTAGCAATAAAAAATAACAATAATTTCCATTTGAACATTTTTAGTAACACTTAAAACTTAAAATTACTTTTTTAACCTTGTTAAGTTTTCAAATTATTATATATTTAAATTTAATAAATAAATATATAATATAATTTTTAATTCTAAATTGAGTTCTCACAAGTAATGCATATCCATTCGAACTCTTAAAAAAAATTAGAGTCCTAACACCTTATAAATGTTGATACCTTCATTAAAAATTTACAAATTTACCTTAAAAAATATTAATTAATAAAATAAATTTTTGAATTTTGAATTGAATTTTAATCAAATGAAATGATGTTATTTAAAATGGGACTCCAATCTTTTCTTGAAATCAGAAATGATATGCACCATGCTCTATATATAGTATTTATATTTATGCAGATAATAAAAGTACAACAATCCAAGTTGCAACTACTCAATGAAAGTGCCAACAGGAATCCAGAAAAATTCTTCACAAAAAAGCTGACCTGATCACTGAAAAATGGTTCAGTAGGGATATCAAGCCTTTCTTCACTTCCTCCAATAGTTGTCTCTTTCTCTTGCATTATTGAAAATGTTGAAAATGATACCATCTTTGGACAATTATCCATGTTGATAACAAACAATGATGGAAATTGAAGTTTATAACTTCCCACAATAACACTTGTCAAGTTGGGACAAGACTCCAGGGTAAGGGACCTTAGCTGACGGAATATCATTTTATTTTTTGGTACCTCTATAACTTCCTCTTCTGTGATGATTTGCTTTATCATTTCACAGTTTTGTACCCTCAATTCCCAGAGACGAGAAAGACTCAACACCATGGATGGAGTTAAGAGGTATCTCAAGCTATCACAATTACAGATTTCCAGCCCAAAAATCCTTTGGAAATTCAATATATCTTGAGGGTTTTTGTTCCATATTTCCATCAAATTAGGAAGCTCCGAGGATCTCAAATCGCTTAACCCAGCATATCCAACCTTCAATGCAAAACATTTCTAGTTATAGCACCAAAATACAATTAAAAAAAAAAAAAGAATTAATAACTTTCAATTTGCATTTGATGATATGATTAATAAAGGGATTGCCAGATAGAAAACATTTCTAATTTTATTGTTGAATCCATACCTTTTCTTCATACAATTGATTTATGGTGCTATTCAATTCACCCACCAGACGCCCCTCATCGTAGTCATTCAGTGATATTCTCTGCAGCATTGGAGTCTTTACGACTCCCTTACAGAAGGTGTCCATGTTGGGACATTGACACACAACCAAGCGTTCTAAACATGGGAACTTGAAGGCGAAATTAAGTCTTGAACAAAAGCTTGTGAGCTTTATTAACTGCATGAGTTTCAAAACTTTTAATTTCATAAAAATGATCCCATCTTCTAAGCCATCTCTTTCGTCTCCAACTACTTCAGTCAGTGAGTTGCATTCTGTTATGCTCATTGTTTCAAGTTGAACCAGGCTTTGAGCTATTGAGAATGAAACCAAATTTCTTAACACGCTGCAATGCTGTACATCCAAAGTGGTGAGATTGTGGAAATGTACCGTAGATGCTGTTAAGCTAATCAAGCCATGACAGTCACTCACATTCAGAATTCTAAGATTTTGAAGAATTAGGTCAGCTCCTCTTGAGTCTTGGTTACATATGTGCCTCAAATTATAAAATGATTCCAAATTCAACTCTCTAATATGTAACTGTGTTCCCACACATTTCTCCTGACCATCAGCGTCTCCTTCAAAAAAGAATAACTCCTTCAAACCAAGATCAGTTACGTGAAGCTTTTCCAGCTTGCAGAAACATTGAAGGAAGCAAATTGAAAACAAAAGTGATTCATCTTCATAAGTAAGAAGATGAAGAGCTTTAACATTGCAAAAGAGGTCCCTTGGAAATTGCTCATCAAATATCATTGCGACGTCATCACTTGTTAATGACAGTTTCTCTAATTTAGGAAAGACCTGGAAGCAAATCCAACAAAAATATAAGAAATTGTAGAGTACTTTTCTATAAGCGGAAAAAATATTCAAAAATATTAAATGTACCATTAATATGTAACAATAAAATCATTTCTCACTCTTAATTTTGACTTTACGCTTTTCAGGTGAGTTAGGAATGCGAAAAACCAACAAATTTGGTTTAACAATGCTTTCCATATGCCTTTTTTTATTTTAAAATAATTATTATTTTTCTATTTTTTTTGGAAATTAAAAATTTAGATATAACATTTTATATTTATTTATAATATCCTCAAAAAAATAAAAGACAAAATAAGATTTTTTGTGATTGGATAATTAATTAGACAAGTAAATAATAATACGATTAAGGTAAAAAAATACCATTTACCTACTTAAAAAAATTGAAAAAACAATTAATTTAAAACAAATTTAACGTAAAGAAAGAACAATTGTTTTGAAATAGAGGGAGTAACTCTTAATTAATATTAATTAATTTTTTGAAAAATAACTTAAGAATAATTTTTTATATTATTTTTTATTACAATTTTATGTATCATTTAAATGATTAATTTTTTTATTTATTTAGAATTCGTAATATTGAGTGTATCTACTTATTTATTAACATGTGAAAATTATATAAAAAAATTATCCATATATCACTATCCAAATTTTTTACA